CCCGTCACACTGTCTAATTCTTCTACAAAACCTCCCGGGGATACAGAAATACCGAGCAGTTCTAGGATAGACGTTTTCCGCAAGCTGTTCAGATCACCGTCTGTAGCCATCTAAACCCCAGGGATCCTCAAAACTCTAGAGGGATCTTGCATACTACTGTCACGAAGAAGGAGTTCCAAAATAAGCTGGACGACATGCGTGTATCATACCTCGCAGATATTCAAAAGTTCGGGGAGCTCGTCTGCAACGGCAAGCGCCATAGCACGGAACTTATCCTCTTTCTTAATGCCATCATCATCATCAGATGAACTAATCTTGTTATAGCACGTAAAGAGGCTCCTGGAGACAAAGACATAAATACAAGGACCAAAGACGTCTGCCATTACTGTCAGTGGTCGCCAGGCATAGATCTTCTTGACCAAGGCGCCTCTAGGAAGACCGAGCTTCCTGCTAAGATACTTGGCTATCCTCGTTGAGATTATCGACCCCGGTTTGGCGTCTATTCCGTTCTTGAGTAAGAAGTCTTCGATGTCTCTGTCTGATCCTATCGCGGCCGGGCTCGACCAATGATCCCATTCACGGACGAGCGACACCTTCATATCGACCAGTCGAATGTCGTCGATCGTCAACATATTGTGGCTGTCGTGTTGAGCGGCCTGAGCCCAGCGTAGGGTGAAGCTGGATAGTGTCGCCGGTCCGCCCTAGTAGCCATCCCCCGCGTCGTCTGGCAACCGACGAATTTCTTTTGGTGGGAAATGAAAGGGCGCTAACTCGACATGGGGCAGCCGACGAACAAAATCTGGGGTAACCGACGAACTCCAGATCAGGACTGACAAGCAACAAGATAGCCGTGAAAACTTACAGAATTATAGAATTCCACGTAAGAATCCTTGTAAAATGTTTCCTCCTACAAGAAATCGCCGTAAGTGTGGAAAATCGCTGGATTCTTCTGTGGACTCTGGTTTTGATGCTCCTCAGCTAACAAGGGTGGCCTGCATAGAGCACCCAAAATCAGGATCTGACATAACCGCCGTATATAAATCATGAGCGTCTTATACCCCTCGCCATTCTTCCTCTCAATTACGCTTCACAACCCAGTGTCTAAGATTAGGATCTCAATTAAGTCTGGATCGGATCTTGGTAGTAAGTGCTACAAACGCCATTTGATCTCCGAAATACACGCATGTTTAAATTACGGAACACGAACGCGGGTTTAATCCTATAGGTATTGCGAAATTGAGATAGCTCAATGGACACGATGGATGATTTCTTCTATGTCCCGTGACGGGGATTTCCAATTTCTCTCAAAAGGTGTAATCAGTCAATGTATCTGAACTTGACGTGTTCGTGTGTTCTGGTTCTCCGTCCAGGGCCCAAGACCGCCAAACCCCAGAACCAAAGTAAGGAGCTTAACAAGTGTCGCTCTTGCCCTGGCCGTTATCCTTGCAGCTGCCCCCGCAGAAGGTGACAAACTTGATGGCACCGCCCTCGCCGCCGAGGCAGTTGAAGATGGAGTAGTTGATGTGGTTGTAGTCAGTTGGCTGACCAGCGACGAGCAGAGCCTGAAGGATCTGGTCGTTGTATCTCCCTGTGAATAGAATGATAAGTATGGAGATCAAAACGGCCTCCGTAATAGAAGTCTAGGTGACTGATAGTTGACTTACCCTTCTTCAGCAGGCTGGAGCCGCAGTAGTTAAGAGGCGCATTGCAATTGTCGGCGGCAGCAAGAGGAGCTGCGACAAGGACAGCGATAGAGACGAGAACGGAGCTGAACTGCATGGTGAATGATATGTGTTTTACTCAAGGATGTTCTTTGATGAATAGAGAGGTATCAGATGATGAGGTTGAGGATGAAGAAAGATTCATACTTTCGAGGCGGACAGCAACGTCCTTATATACTTGTTGAAGAAGACCGGAAACATTACTTCTCTGATCTTCATTGGCTTCCTGACTTAGCTTAGCCGTCTGCTTTGCCTCTTCCATGACTGCATGCGTAAAGCCAGCGTCTCGTCCCTATGACCTGAGGCCATCAGGAGATTTACCATTATCACTATCACGCTCCGTCTGCTTTGCCTCTTACGTGACTAAATCTGTATAGCCGCCATAATATCCCTGTGAACCCATATACAGACCCACCATTATCACCATCATCCCTATCATCTTCGGTCTAGGCTTGAATAGGAAAATGCTCATTTGTACAGAACCTCATAGGCAGCGAATAACGTAACGTAACTCCTGTCAACTCTGTCACCATCGCAAAGAAAATAATTTTGGGAAATGCAGAGACTATCATAGCAACCTTCTTCATGCTATTCAGTCTGTCCGCCCAGTTTCCCTCTAACTTTAGGACATGATTAATAGGAAGGACGTGTGCGAACATTACCAAGGCTACTTGGTCACTGTGAACAAACCCGTGGAGTTTGTTCTTCCCCGGACAGAATCTCTCGGGCCCCGAAGTGTTCTGTTAGAAGATCAACCTGTGGGGCGTCTTCGTATATGCAGCTCCCCTAGGCAGTCTTTCATGGGGCCCAGCGTCTCCATTTTTGATGGAAAGCTACCTTCGTGCACTGATGCGGTGGTTGGTCGTTGGTTGTTGTCAAAGTCCACTCTAAGCGGCGCAGGGCACTAACTCAAAACTGTGCCGCATGTTTCTTCGTGGCGGTCGTAGCCGAGCCAGGCTGGCCCATGAACAAGCGAAATTCAGGCTAAGTGATTGCTTACATCCGAGAGTCTCGTTCTTGCCAGTAGACCTGGCTTGTATCACCACACGAGATTGCCCTGGTATATCTCTCGCTGGCCGGCCGGCTCGAGACGCCTTCTTGGTCACAAAAGCCTAGTATGATGGGCAAGGGCTTAATTCACCTTCAATTCATAGGCTGATCTATCCAATTCGCCGTGTTGTTCCGCAAAAGGAACATGGGTCGTTGTTTAAGATGAAAAGTAAGCTTTGTTAGACAGCATCCATGTAAATGGTCCTGTAGGCTAGGGTCTTTTGCAAGAACCCCATTCATTACGGATACTTCCGGGGGGGTTCAATTGACCCAATCATGCTAGCTCTCCGATGCACTAAAAAGGCTTAGTCGCGTCGCCGATCGTCGCCCCGGTGGCACCGCACGGGAAGTCGATCTTTGCCGCGGACGGAATTTTATTAGCGCAGGTGTCCTTAACGACGTTGAACCGTCTGGCTTATTGACTCCGCAAACCGATAGAGATACTGCGAAAGGCTTGGCAGCATCTGACATAAGCCTATAGACTTGTGCTAATGCAAGAGCAGAAGCGTGCGCGCATGTACTCTCCACGTTGGGGAACTCGTAAGGTCTTGACGGTAATGTGGAAGGAGACCTGGTCGGCGACGACGTTGATGGTAGAGGGGCTGGTGGTGATGTTAGGGCTACGACAGATGTCCCAGCAGGCAACACTGGTATCTAGAGTATCGTGATCCTCGATATGGCATGATTCGAATATCGTTCTTCTATATCGGTATCGCTGACTTTGATGAGCTCGTCGTGGGTGTTTTCGTTTCCTTACCCTATAGCTTTCCTTAAGGTGGTCGTCGCTCCAAGCACGGTGGTACGTAACGACGCCCCACATGTATTCACCTGTCTGGGTCATGCCACTAAATAATGTCTGAAACACTGACAGTTATGACTCGATTCAGCCCTCGACATGTCATCAAGTTTCCGGGCAGGAAAGGTGGTGGCCGCGTGGGCAAGTTTGATGAGTTGGCTGAGTTGGTGGCGAGAGGTCGGAGCCTGAAGTAGCCGATCAAGGGTAAGGCTTACTGCCTTCATAACGGGTCAACTGGGTGGAACTTGAGAACAGCCTCTTGGAAGCTGCGGGGGTCCTTTATGGCGCACCTTCGTGTGGTACGATATTATTATCTACTTGTCTGCAGGTAAGTCCCGAGCTCAGAGAATGCAAAGGAAAATATCTTGATACGTAGACTTCTAGTATAGGTACTGAAACCTTGAGTCTCAGCCGCCAATATCCGTTTGATTTACGTGGTTCATGTGCACATCTTACATAGCTTGATCTTCCGGTGGCATCTTCCGGTGGCTCTTACGACATGACTGTTCGTGTAATGGGCTTGTCTACCTGCGATGTACCTCATGCCGGGCGAGCCAGGTCCACCTAATGCGCAGGCTCATTGCATTCATCTCTGCGAGAAATAGCATTGTAAGAAGAGTGAAGTTGACGGAACGATGGTTCTATGCTGGAGTAGGTAGACAGATCTCGATGTTAATCACTGATTCCAAGACCGGGATCACCTAAACCTTCAAGAAGGTTCGACCAATCATCGCGAGACAGTGCCAAACTTGCCCCGAGGCTATTCCAGTCTTGAACAAACTTCATATGTCCTACGTCTCCATTTGTGGCCGTGTCGTCCAGCTCTCCCGATGATGTGGAGTTGACTGTGGTTTCATGAACGATGTCAGCTGTCGATTGAGGGCAGGACATCCCCTCATTGAAAGACAGGATACGATATCTCCTCATGACTTTCCGAAGAGGCTCAATGAGAACCTCTGCCTGTTGCAGCTGCGCTTTTGCCTCATCCAGAATCTTCCACCCTGCGGCCAGCTCGGGACAGTTGTTCAAGTGTGCCGATCCCGGAGCATCTAGGCAAAGGTCGAAGAAGAGGACGACGAATGCCAGGTAAATATGGTTAAGAACAATGGACAGCCTTAATCGTGATGAAGCAAACTCGACTTCTCTTTGCTGCAGCTGTTCCTCCAGGCGAATGACAAAGCGGGCAGATTCGACGCAAGCCATTCGAGATGTCGCGTATGAGGCGCCACGGGCGAGAAACGGGAGGTGGATCCTGCACCTTTGACCATGAACGAAAAGTTGCAGCACGTACCGCTGGACTTCCATTCTCGCTTGATCATCCTTCACGCCTCCCGAGTCGTGGTCAAGTCGCAAGAATGCGGGGGTGTCATCCCAAAAGCGAACAAGCTGGGCATCGAGCTCTTGTACCTGCTCATAACCAATGGCCTCTGGACTTAACCCTGCAAACTGCGTTTGCTCAAGCGATGTCCGGAAAACCTCGGCAAGACGAATGCGCTGGAGTGCAAAAGACATACAAGTTGGCTGGTCCATCGGTCTTGCAACAGTCTCCTTGCCTTCTGTAAGATCGTCGTCATCAATGTTCTTAGGCTTGTTGACGGTCATCTGCGAAGGGTTGATCAAACAAACGTTTCCGATGGTGCCGGACAGTCCTGCAACTATCCTGTATAATCCAAGTTGTTAGCGAGAAGGTTGACGCAAAGATGACACGTTGCCTGACCAATCCGTAGAACAGAGATACCACCAAACTCTGCGTCCAATTTCTGCCTCAAGAAGTGAATGCTTTGGCGTGACTAGGCTTAGAAGCCGCCTCGGCAAGTCGATACAATGTAGCCCGAGCTCTCGCGCCATGGCGACAGCTCTTGAAAAGATGTTTCTAAATTTTATCGTAACACCTTCGAGATTAACGACAGAATAGCATAGAAGGATCATTGCCTGTGTAGCCTCGAGAGACACATGTGAGTCTCTTTGAAGATGGTCCAAAACATCAAGCCCGGCTTTCTGCCACGACAGAGCTTGCGAATGAGCGTCAGACACACTGCTGAAGAGGCATCTCGACATATCGCGAGTTCCCCACTGGTTGGTAGAATTGGCAAAGATAGCCAGTAGCAGCGCGATCGTTTCAATTGAGGGGCACTGGCCTGAGTCAATGGCGCTGTAAACCTCATCCGCTCGACGTTTTACGCTACGTGCATGAGTGACCTGGTGAATAAAGGAGATGTCGTCGAGGTACTTGTCAATGAGTTGCCTAGCCTCTTCTCGGAGAGGCAACAATACGCATTTGACCGGCTCATGGAGATTGAAGCTATTGTTTTGTAACATGAATGAACTTGGTTTCGTGATTAGTCGAATCTGGGCTGTGCCAAACAGAATAGGACTTGACACATTGCAGTCCTTGGGGTTATGTTAGTGATAGAACACTGAAGAATCCTCAAGTCAAACTTTCTTTAGCCTTGGAGCCCATAGATTGCCTTTCTAGAATCAAAGCATCCGATAGCATGTATAAAATATCCGGCGAGGGGGCTTGACCAGCGCGGGCGTCAGTCACAAGGCACCGTAATTGTGATGTTCCCGAGTTACTGATTTTGGCGGCGAGAAGAGCTTCTAGTGATTCCAGACGTCGTACCAAGTCGGTATTAGTCTCTGGCGGCATGCTTGGGTGTGTCTGACCGAGTGCACCGCGTTGCCCATTTCCTTTCTGAATTGCGGGTGCTAGGCACTTCACGCCGCGAGCTGTGCAATTGGAGCACGGGAATTGGCGGTTGCATCGCAATTTTCGCGCTCGGCAGAGCGCGCACGACACAGCCTTTGAGCGACGCCGGGATTGTTGGCGTTTTCCTTGGTACATATTGATCAGATTCAAATGGCGTTCGTGATGCTTTGCAATAACATGAAGAAGGTAGTGATTTCGGGTCTGAGTACACAGCTCAAAGTCCGCGGACTTTGGGCGGATTTAGCGACTAGTTCGACTCATCTCCGCGGACATGAGTGGAGACATGTGTACCAAGCCCATGCTCGCTTTCGGTCTGGATTGTCGATTTAAACTCTTGCCGAAGATCTAGCGTTTTTAAGTATCCCGAAATGGCCCGTGTCTTTCTTTCAATTACGACTGATTGCTACATCGCCTTGCTCCTTGATGATGTTTCCGATAGTCCAAGCCGAGAGGCTACTCACTGCCCGAATCAGAAGTAATATTGTTTCACATAGTAGCACAATCACATCAACATTAATAAGGACACGTTGTCATACTTTTGTTTTGTATATTTCGGCTCACTCTGCGAAATGACTCTCCAGGCGCATTTGGCCCTCGAGGTGCTTGCCTTACAAAGAAGGTTGATACAACGTTCAAAGAACGCACGTTATCAATCCTCACTCCTTTCCTACTTCCACAATGAGCTTCTTGCCAAACACTTTTCCATCTCGGAGCCTCGTAAGCGCCTCCCCTAGACTCTGCAAACCCCCTTCCACAATTTCGGTAGGGTGCCCTGTGAGCCATCCATTTGCCATGCCATTTGTGAACAAGTGACTCATAGTAGATCCAAAGCAACGCTGTTCCTTACTGCCAGTATGAGCCAGCATCACGTTGATGTAATCCCCATCTACAAGGCCAGAAACGGTGGCACCACCTTGGACAGTGGCAACACGAGGACGATTACCGCTCAATCCCGACTGAGTGCCCAGCGCTTCGATGAGTATTCCCGTATATTCGGGAGCACCGTCGTCGTTGGTGGCAGCATCAAGTCCACACCAGGCAGGCCCGCTTTCAGCCTTGAGAATGGCCGACTGGATGTCCGCGACCACCCTCTTGGCTGACTGGCGATAGTCAATTATGGCATCACCTTGACCGAAGTCGAGAAGACCGCGAATATCTTCAGCTGAATTGCCTGCAGTCACAATGATTGGCCGGATATTGGAAGCTTTGGCAAGTTTTATGGCAAAAGTCCCGATAGCAGTCCCCGCGCCGTGGATAACCAGAGGATTGCTCAGAGTTCCTGGAGAAAGCCATGGTGTTGGAAGTCGAAGAACATCATACAAGCCAAAGCTTGCTACCAGGCAAGCCATTGGCATAGTCGCTGCCTAGTTGCTGAAGTTAGCCATGTGTAATCTAGATGTAATTATAGTCTTCGATCGGAGATGTGACACGACGAGAACGTGGAGCTCACCTCAGCAAAGCTAACGTTTTCCGGGATAAGAAAGGTAGTTGTGGCAGGAGAAAGCGCATATTCAGCGAATGAGCCACCAGGTGCTCCAATCTGATGCAGTGCTGCTACACGATCCCCTGGTTTGAATTCAAACACACCTTCCCCAACTTGTTCGACAACGCCGGCAAAGTCATCTCCCGAGTTCAAAGGATGTTGGACATAGATACAAGGCACTTTCCAGTCTTTAGGGTTTGTGCCTACATCTATTTAGTAAGGCCTGAAGGCGTATGACACGTCATGGGCAACTTACCAGACACAACCACTCGGACAAGGACTTCTCCGGCTTTGGGCACGGGAGTTGGTACATCGCGGATTTCGACCTGGATGTCGGGCGTGATGACAGCTTCTCTCATGTTTGTGTTTGAATAGGAGCCGAGCAAGTGGGACGGAGATCGAGAAACCAAAGGGAAATGACCGATGTGCAAAGTGGTGGGGGTTGTTGAATGGTGCCAAAAGTACCTGCGTAGGAATGCGAGAGCTCCGGGTTCTCACTAGGTTAAGATTGATATGAATTCCTTATTATAAGAGTCATAGGGGCTTGATTTATATATGGCCTTCTTGAGAAAGATTGCCGTCGTCCAATGGTACCCTTTTACAGTGGATCGTCCCAAGCTTTCCCGAAGTCCGCGGAGTATGAGAGTCTAGGACTCCGAATCAGCCAACTCATTCGTCCTTCTAGAACTAAGTATTGAAAATCTGAAAACATAACAGTCACCCGGATTACCAATCCGTCAGCCCAAACGATTGCGCACTCATCGGGCTGAGGATCATATGGACCAACCTATATTACAGACGGAGCTCGAGATTGCTGCCGGGGACGTCGTTTTAGCACGAAGGTGAGGGGACAAATTTTCGCCAACAATGGTCCACCCTCCTACACTGGCTAACACATAGCAGAAAATAGACCACCGTGAAATTCCTCAAAGATAGGTAACCCTTAATTACTATTACCTATCCGCCACTACTACACGTGGTAAGTAAACACAAAAGTAAAGATTACACATTACCCTACCTAGCTAGGTAAGGATTTGAGACTTTCTAGCTCCCTTGTAATCATAGACGTGGGCAAAACCACCAGTCGGCTAAGTATGTAATCACGAGATGTACTAAGAACTTATAATACACAGTGGCTCATGCTGTGCGTACTGAACATCCAGCGATCTATTATTACTCCTATTCTTGAACTAGTTACATGGCCTTTTCAGCGGTATCAGTGATGCTTCCAATATCATCGTGCTTCCCTCTTGAAGGTTCAGGCCATTTGTATTCCTGCGGCAGGCAAATTACGTAGCATTGGTATCTGCATGACGAATCTTGTTCCCTGGTCCTAGGCTTGATGCGATGCCGACTCGAACTTTCGAGCCGGCACCCGAGCAAGGAATAGACTATCTAGCTCGTGGAATGTTCTTCCTTTGGTCTCTGGAACGGAGAAAAACGCAACAACTGCAAGGACTGTGCCGCTTCCGAGGAAGACGAGTCCTGCTTTCGGCCCGAGATTTGCCTCTTCAGTATTGACCAAACAAGGAATTGCAATCGACCAGCCCATATTGCAAATGGAGCCCGAGATCGCTGCCAAAGACGTGGTTTTGGCACGAAGGCGAGACGATGATATCTCACCAACAATGGTCCAACCTACTGCACCAACTGACATGTAATAGAAAATAGACCAAATTATGCAGAAGGCGGCCAGGGCTTGGCTGTTCCAGTTCTCGCCGCGGCCGAAAAAGCCTAGAAGGCTTACAACTAAGAGGCAAACCAACATTCCGTACGTCCCAAACATGAGCTGAGGGCGACGTCCGACGCGTCCAATCAAGAAAAAGGCGAAAATGGCGGCGAACATGGAACACAGAACCGATATTATGGTGATGACGAAAGCGTCGTCGACACCAGAGAGCGTGAGAAAATAAGCGAGGTAGTTGCCACATAGGGGGTATCCAATAAAGATTTGCATGACGACTGGGAGACACGCAATCATGGTTCGGCGTAAATCTGTTTTCTGAAAGCATTCAAGGTACGTGGATGATTGACCGTGGGAGCTCTGCTGCCTTTCTTGCTCAAGGGTTGCTTGGATTTCCCGGATCTCGGCATCAACATCAAAGCTCCCCTTGCCCCGAATCTTGTTTAGCGCATTTCGAGCATCGTCCAGGCGGCCCTTATTGATGAGATAGTATGGCGACTCGGGCACGAGCGGAATGAAGAGCGCCAGAGATAAGATCGCAGGTCCAAATTGCGTAATGACTGATGCCTTCCACGACCAGGAGTTGTCGATGTAGCTCGTAAGTCAAACCCCCCACTTCCCGGCACCCCCCTGTTTCTGGCACCCACAAAAACGCGAAAATCCACCACAACGCAATGCCCACCCCCAACCTCCTTTTATCACAACATTTTCAATTCGAGTCCAAATGGGCTCATTTTTTTACCCTTCTTCTATATCTAATGCCTCAATATACCGAAGATCAGCTTCGTCAGGCTCTCGAGGACATCTCAAACGGCAAGAGTCAAAGAGAGCCTCATTGGAGTATGGGATACCACGATCAACCCTCCAACTACGTCTCCAAGGTGGTCAGACTAGGAAAGTGGCTTTTGCTGACTGGCAGAGGCTGTCTCCTGACCAGGAGAGTAAGCTGGCACAATGGGTTCGCATTCAGGCTTCGCTGGGCCTCGCACCAACGCACCAACAGGTGAAGGAATTCGCAGAGCGAGTTCTGGCTGCTGCTGGGGATACCAAACCATTAGGAAAAGGCTGGATCTATGCCTTCGTGAGAAGGAACCCTATCATTAAGGTTCAGAGAAGTCGTTCCATCGATTCTAGACGCGTTAATGGGGCATCTACTGAGGTCATTAGGAACTGGTTTAAGTTCCTTGCTATCCCTGAGATCAAGGACATCAAACCAGCCAACAGATATAATATGGATGAGACTGGCATCCTCGAGGGTCAGGGAGCTAATGGGTTAGTGCTGGGCATGGCTGAGACGACGTCTGTTCGCAAGAAACAACCTGGGTCGAGGGCATGGGTCTCTATCATTGAGTGTATCTCAGCCTTGGGTAGGGCACTTCGTCCTCTTATCATTTTCAAGGGAAGACGGTCCAACAACAGTGGTTTCCATTACATCTGGTTCCATACGATGGGTGGGAGTTTACAGCAACAGATAATGGCTGGACTACAGACTTAACTGCCATTGAATGGTTAGAGAAGGTGTTTATCCCACAGACTATGCCCGAGGCTGAGGGCGAGGCTCGACTGTTGATTGTGGATGGGCATGGGAGTCATACGACGACAGACTTCATGTGGAATTGCTATATTAACAATATCCATTTACTGTTCTTACCACCACACTCCTCTCATGTCCTCCAGCCACTTGACCAGTCTGTCTTCAGCCCTGTTAAGTCAGCCTATCGGAAGGAGCTCGGTTACTTGTCTCAATGGAACGACTCTACCATTATAGGTAAAAGGAACTTCCTGGACTGTTACCAGAAGGCTCGACTTGCTGGTCTATCAGTCTCGAACATCAGAAGTGGTTGGAAGTGGACTGGTCTACACCCTGTAGCGATGGTTAAGCCCCTGATGAACCCTATGGTATTACCTGAGCCTTCTGCTAAGCCCACCACACCCAAACCAACCAGTCGGGGCAAAAAGCGATGCCATAATGGTCAACAAACTACCCCTGTTGAGCCATGGGATTCTGCTTCCTCTGCAGTGGTCTGGTCGACACCCAGGAAGCTGGCAGAGCTCAGCGGTCAACTGCACTTATACACCCAACTCGACAATGATACCAGCACTCAACGGCTGCTGTTCAGGAAGGTGAAAAAAGGCTTCACAGAGCAGGCCTGGCAACTGGCAGCTGCCCAGCAGCAGCTGGCTCACCTGAGGGCTCAAGTTACCAACGCTGCAGTTAGGAAGAGGAAGACTGTTCAGATCGATCCCAACACGAAGTTTGCGAACATCAGGGATATCCATCGGGCTCAAATCGAAGCGGGTGAAAAGGAGGTTATTACGGCTGAATCCAGCGACTCTGAATGCCCTAGTGAGGCTGGCAGTTGTATTGTAGTGGGTGTGGTTGAGGATCAATAGTTAATAGTAATGAGGAGGTTGGGTTGTGATCCCATCGTTTTTGTGGGTGCCAGAAACAGGGGGGTGCCAGGAAGTGGGGGGTTTGACTTACATGGTCCAGCTCCCAGCGGAAGACGGTGGTCTATCCATGTCCATTCCAGCGGAGCCGCCGCATCAAAGATCGCAAACTATTCGCTATCTTGTAATCTACTCTCAATTGGTTTCAAGTATTCGGTCAGGAAGACGAGAGGATATTCTGCTCACCTACAGTAATATCGTTCATTGGAGAGATCTACCTCCCAACGTTGATCGTCAATCGGCTTCTACTCGGCACCTTCTCTATCTTTTTGAACAGCTATCTTGTCGGGCATTGATTCATCTTACATCTTTAACGCCTCAAACAATCGCGCGAAATGAATTATGGCTAGGAAATAGTCAAGATCTTGAGACTGATACTATGAACACATCATATCTCTTTATCAACCGATCTTACGATCTATTTATTAGCGGAAGGTTTGTTTGCAGCTTCATTGATGCATACGACATATTTCAAGCTGCGGTTGCCTTTACATGCCTCACCCGTCGACGAAGTCAAGATGACTTTGCCGCGCGGCGACTCGCCGAAGTGACAGAAGTCATTAGCAAAGCCTCCGCGCTTGTGACGATCGCCGCATCACGATTTCCTGCACTTGCAGCATTTCAACAGGTCTTACTTGGTCTTTCCATCAGAAATATGGAAACTGATGAAACCACATCTACTGTGAGACGGTTTCGATGTTTTTCGATTCTCTGCAAATGTGGCTCGGCTAACCTTTTCAAAGACCGTCTCGTGGAACCATTTCCCAGATATAATACCACGTCGATCTCAGCGACTCCTTCGATTTACCTTCACGTAGAGGATTACAGCTCGCTACTTGAGTAGTGTGTTAAGGCTTAGTTGAGCAGAGAGAGGGGGGGGGGGGGGGCGCAACACTGTGGTTTATACTTCTCGGATGTATCCCTAAACCTCGTTTACCGCTGCTTCGCTAAGTCTGCATAGATGTTTGCAGTAAATCATGTATAACTATGGACAGAGTCGGATACAGCGGGATAACACATGGGCGTGGTGCACTGCACAATGATTCCTTCATTACGCGTGATAAATCCTAATTGACCAGTCATCTCAGTCGGGGTGCCTGATCAGTAGTGGCCTTAGTATGTGGTGGATGATTGGAAGAAACAGCTACGGTTGTACGCCTCAGCCTACAATTCAGCGCGGCGATTCCCGTCAGTGAAGTAAAATAGTTGAGCAGTCGCTATCACTACCTAGTCTCGGGACAACTCCTAGCTCGAAGAACTTGGCCGGTTGCAAGATCTGATGTCGACCGGACCCAGTCCGGTGAAGGTCATTAATATCGGACACGCTCCGGTAGTGGCAGAGACTGGACTAACCCCAGACAGCCCGCAACACATCCACTATCAATTCGCGGGGAAACTGGGCTCCAATGCGGGGAATCTAAACGCTTGTTTGGCTATGAAATGGTTGTCGCAAAATACTGTTCCCAATTGAGCAATACCCCAATGCCATTGTTTAGCAAGAGTACAAAAGATGTGGAATCTTCTCGTCAGATACCATTTCTGAATTCTTGTTATCGCGCGCTATTCTTCTGGATCAGACAGTCTCCTACTACCATGGCAACTCCTCATAGCTCTAGACGCGGCTCAGTCGATGTCAAAGTCGGGATTGAGTGGGAAGAAAACGCTCCTACCCGCGACCCTCTACTGGAGCCATACGACCTCATAAGAGACAAAAGCCCGGAGGAGCTCAAAGCACTCGATAGAGCTGTTCGCACACGTCTCGATTGGAAGTTTCTCCCAATGGTGTGTGCCATGCTTATGATGAAGTGAGTCTCGAACTCCCTCACTTGGTTCTCTTATGTTCGGTCAATGGTGTACCCTTCAGTTGTTGACTCCCTATGTTAAGTTATCTAGACCGCATCAACGTCTCGAACGCACGACTTGCCGGCATGCAAGATGATTTGCACATGTCAGATACAGTGTGGTCTGCCGGTATCTCGCTTTTTTATGTGGGATACATCATTTCACAGGTTCCTGCAAATGTCATCATCGCGAAGGGAAAGCCACGAATTTTGCTTCCGTGCTGTATGCTCGGGTGGTCCATTACCACTTTATGTATGCCTGCTGTCACTGCCGGCTGGGGCTTTCTCCTGTGTCGCTTTGTTGTAGGCCTGACTGAAGGTCCTTTCGTGCCAGCGGTGTCTTTGTTGACGTCGTCTTGGTACACGAAGCATGAGTCTCCCCTCCGCATGGGTATCTGGCACGCCGGAAACACAATATCGCAGGCTGTCTCTGGCCTTCTGGCTGCTGGAGTCCTCCGCAATATGAATGACATAGCCGGACTATCAGCATGGCAGTGGTTTTTGCTTCTCGAGGGTCAGTTTTATGGACATATGGCGAGACTCACCTTTCACTAACACAGCCGTAGGCATCGTCAGCATCATTATTGGTCTGGCAAGCTTTTGGTTCATTCCCAACTTTCCCGAGTCGACTGGCACCTATTTCCTGACTGCCGAAGAGTCTCAAATGGCTCAGTACCGGCAAACTGTGTCGGCCGGCGGTCATACCGAAGACGATGAGGGCGACTACTGGGGTGGAGTTTGGATGGCACTCAAAGACCCATTCACATACCTCTTCTCTGCTATTCATTTCTGCCTTATAATCGCGCAGTCTTACAAAGACTTCTTTCCATCGGTCAGTTAAAACCACGTCGCCCCGGGTCGAACTTCATCACTTACGTCAGACTTCTCTAGATTCTCGCTACTCTCGGATTCGGCGCTACCGAGACGTACCTCATTCAAGCCCCACCTCCGATTATTGCCTTTCTTGTAACTTTGGCAGTCTCCTGGTCGTCCGGTCGAATGCTTGAACATGGCTACCACATTATCGTGCCGATGCTGTTTACGCTGGCTGGGTGCGTTGTGATGATCACAACGCTCAACGTTGGTGCCAGATATTTCTCTATGATTCTGCTGGTCACCGGACCATTCCTTGGCCTCAATGTACGTTCATGGAATATCTTTCTTTCTCGAAGAATCTCCAATATTGACTGACACAGCTGCAAATTTCTTGGGAGACAACTGTTGTACCTCGACCACGAACGAAAAGAGCCGCTCTCATCGCCATCGCCAACAGTGTCTCTTCTGTCTCTCACTGGTTTACGCCTTATTTCTTTCTGAGAAACCAGGAACCATACTATCAGACGGGAGGCGGTGCTATCATTGCCGGATGTGGGTTGACAGTGATTTTCGTCCTCATCACCAAATGGTACTGTCGGAAGAAGAACAAAGATTTGGACGAGCAAGACAGGGTTTCTGGAGAAACCAGTGAGTGGAGATATGCCTCTTGAGTCTCTTCTCTTGTTTCAGCCTTCAAGAGCATCATTGATGAGGTTGCATTTCTGTGCGATGTATTCAGCTTGAAAATCTTGCTTCAGCCTCTATCAACTTATTTGTGAACCTAAGTGATGATGATCAAATTAGAAAGCCTCTCTCGAAACAATGTTCTGGCTTCATTGTACTGTTGACCAGCCGCTAGTTGAACCACTTTCGGCATGCAACTGTTCACTCAGATAGATCTTGACTTCTTGAGGCTGGCGAGAGACTTGATCACGAAGGGAATTTCGCAGTCTAGAGTAAGTCCATGAGGTGACGGCTGGACACTCAGTGTCAGTTGAAGGGCTGCTCATATGCCTGGGCTACGGTTTCGCTCTGGAACTCGGCGTCCAGAAGGATCAAAGCCTCTGATAGCTTAGTAAGTATTTCGTACAGAAAAAAGAGACTGGCCGTGGCTGTCAGGAAGGAGATGGAAGCTATGTTCGGGATTGATTCCAAGCGTCGGAATCGAACGCCGTTGGCCGGTGCATGGAGGAACTGGATCCTGGAATTCACACCCTGCTTCTTTAGACCCTGGCATATATACAATAGTAAAACTACGATTGCGGTGTCGAACTCGCCCAGACGATGAACGGATGCAGTTGGCTTGAAGATATGCGGATCCTTTGATTTGGGGGAATGTCTGTGTCTCTGGAGTCAAAATCACCACATTCCTTGGTGTCTTCGGAACTAACGAAGGTGAATCTGTTTGCGGGAAGTTACTTCTCTTGAGGTAGATCAAGTGGCTCTTCCGATAAGAATACGAAGTCTGACAACTACGACCATGAGCCGCCTTTTCGATCGATTACTTACTTGGTGAGGCGGCATGGCAGAGGGCAGACCATATTCAAGGACTTAAAGCGACGATAGTTGTGGCAACTTGAACAGGCTTCTTTGACATCATAAGCTTACCAGACTAATACACATGTTAAGGGAACAGCCTGACAGCTATCCCTCATTATCATGTACGAATACAGTGTCCATCTAGCATTGCTTGGCTTGCAGAAGGCTTGCATAGCGCCGGCTTTACTTCTGGGCCTACCTGTAGTGCCATACATCTTAGCCCATTCTCCTCGGGCTCACAACGGCGGCAAGCTCGACAAGGTGCGCCAAGATCGGCAGGACTAGCACTCTAGTCTGACTCGTGAAGCCACAACGGCGACCGATCAACAGCATCATTGTCAGTATACGATCGGCGTGCTGAGAAATCTCGCAGTCCGGCGGAAAACGATAAGATAGCGATTCCTTATCTTTGACAAAGGAAAGTCCATACCGCCGGTAACGCACATGCAGAGATGAAGTGTAACGATCGAACGGCTGAACCGGCCTGATGGTCAAAGTTATCTTTCGGACTTACGGAACACTCTTGCAGGGGTCAAAGGCCAATAAGACCTGATGGGAATGATCCACAGGTTGCTGATGTGACCCAGCCATGCTTGCTCCATTCCATTTCGCGGGGGTTCGAATGGTCTGTGA